TTTTATCATATTTAATTTTTATTAACATTTTTTTTTTATATTTTTTTGTTTTTTATATAATATATATTTTCATTTATAAATAATATTATTTTTATTGTTTTTTTTTTATTTAAAATTTTTACTTTTTAATTATAATAATTAACAAAATAATTTTAATCTTAAATAATAAATTATAAATTGAATAATACCGAAAAAAAATTATTATATTTTAAGATTAAAATAAATTATTTTTGAAAAATAAATTATTTTTGAAAAATAAAATAATCTTAATTTCTCTTAATTAATTATAAAAATATATGAAAAATAAAATTTAGAATTTTTAAAAAAAGTTCAATCTCTAAATTATATTAATTACGAGTTTCTTAAACTTTAATTTTCTTATCCTTTTATATTAACTTAAGATCTGAGAGCTTCTATTTCACAATTATTAAGTACAATTTTACATAAAAGATCTTAAATTTTACTTTCTAAAGGTTAGAATTCTGAATATTTATATCTCCAGACTTCTAGTTCTTTACTTTACATAGTATTATCTTCTTACAATCTATCTATTTCTGAAAGAAGATATTTAAGATTATCTTAAATACTATTATATTCATATTATAATTAGTTATAAGCTAATAGCTCAGGTTTCATATATTCAATTTCATTAATTTTGACATTAATAATAGAATCTTTAGTTTTGTTTTCTTATTATAAAAAAGCAATTTTTTTTTCATTTTAGCCTTTTTCATTTGCATATTTTTTTTAAAGATCTTCATATTTATTTTACAAATCAGTACACTTTTATTTCATCTGTTCGTTTTGACTATTTAAGACATTAATTTTGTTTGATAAATCTTTATTTTTTTCATTTTAATCTGCCATTTCTTTACATTTTTTTGTGAGTTAATTTAATTAATTTTCAAGTTTATTATTTTCTTTGATTTAGTTTTCTATATTTTCATTTAACTTTTCTTTTTATTTTATATTTTCGGCCAATATTTTTTCTTTATTAGCTAATTAATCTTTCAGTTATTAATTTTTGGTATTTAAATTGGGTAAAATATTATTATTTGTGTCGTATTGAAGTTCTTGGAATTATTAGTTCAATTTTTAGAGTTCGTTTTCCATTTTTATCTATTCATTTTATAAGTTTAAATTTTATTTTTTTCCTTAATCTAGTTCTACTTTTAATTTTTGGTTTTTCTTTTCTAAGTTTTCTATTTCATTTTATTTTTATTTTATTTCTTCCTCTTATTCTTTTAATTATTCATTATTTTCTTGATGGATTTTATCTATTTCTTTCTTTAAATTTTCGTTTTCGTTTTCTTTCATTTTCATCTAATTTTCCATTTTCATGTTTTTATTTTATAATATACTTTTCTCGTTTTCTATTTTTTGAATTTCTTATAAAATTTTCTGCTTTTCTTCTTCTAACAAAGCATTTTGTTGGGATAACTAAGCCTTTTATAATTCATTTTATTGATTTTAAATTTTTAAGTTTTATTAATTTTATTATTTCTCTTCTATTTCTTTTGCCTTTTATTTTAGTAGTTAGTTCAAACGATCTATTTCCTCTAATAATAAAGCTATTTTATTCTTTAAGTGGCCATTGTCTTACTCTACTTGCTTTTTTTCTTCATTTTCTCTCTCTACACTTTATAATCTGTTTTTAAAACGTTTTAAATCTTCCTCTTTTTAATCATTTTAGAGTTTTTGTTAATAAATATCATTATTTAGTTATTAAATTTAGTTTTCTAATTAATATTGACGTTAAGTAGCATTTTTTAACTATTCAATTTAATCGTTTTATTTTTAATATTAAGTTTTCCATTATTCTAATTCATTCTATTTATTTTCCAAAGATGTCTATAAACGTTATTTTTCTTATTCTATTCCTGCAAAACGATACAAATCAATACTTTATTTATTATTCAGTTCTTTTTCTCTTTTTTTTTTTTTAAAAAAAATAATATTTTTAAAATTTTTTTAACTTTTCATTTTCTAAATCTAATTAGTATATTTTTTCATCTTTTAATTATAATTTTTTTTATAATTATTCGAGAATTTCCGTATATTCTTTTTCTTTACTTTATTTATCCCTTTTTTAACGTTTTAAAATTTCTTCGTTTTCCTATTATAAAAATTATAATTGATTATTTAAATTTTGTGTTTTTCTTTTTAGATCATCTTCTCTATTTAAAAATAAAAAGATATTATAAAATAAATGAAAATATAAAAATACTTATATTAAAGATCTTAAATAACTTAATTTTTTTAATTTATATCTTATTTCATTTATTATAATTATTAGTTTTATTAAGTATATAGTTCATGAATATTTTTATATTCTTTTTAAAACATTTGTGCTTATTTAAGTTATAAATTTATCTAATCATTAGCTTATTTCAAATTCGCATTTTCAATTAAAAGTTCATTTAGTTTTATATTAAAATTTGTATTCTCATTTAAAACTTCATTTAATTAAGCTTCTGTTATATTAAAAAAATCTATTTTTTATTTATATTATTATATATGAGTTTCTAAATGTTTGCATTTCTTTTTATATGCTTCTAACTCTTTTAATAATAATTCATCGTTTGTAGATACACTACCTAAATTATGAGAGGATGTCATTATATCAGTTTTTATCACTTATTAAGGAGTTTCTCTGATATTTTAAATTATAGTAGTTGGTACCATTAAATGTTAATAACCTTTATAATTTTAGTTTTTTAATTTTTTATTTTATTTATTTTTTATTATTTTAAATAACCTGTTATAACTTTCTATTAAGAAGGACTTACGGATAAATTATTTTAAACTGCAGGTATTTGCTATTTAGGAATAGATAATTAACTTTAATAAAATTATTTGTTTTTAGTTGTACTAGGTCTTCCTATTGGAGATGTTGATTAAAAATGAGAAGGAGTACTAAAAAATACTTTTTCACTCATTTTTCTAGTTAGGATGTTTTAATTAATTGGGTTGTATGCACTCATCTTTTTATTTATAAATTGATTAATTTTTTTTAAAAAATAATATTTTATTTAAATTTAATTTTTTTTATTAAGTTGGTTTATATTATTTTTTTATTGTAAAATTTGTTTCTAAATAATTTATTTAATAAATATTATAGATCTATCTATTTAAAATTACTGATATATTTTATTTGAATATTTTAAAAAAGCAATTGTTTTAAAATGATATAAATCAAATTTATTATAAAATTGAACTGCTTTTTCTAATATAAATATATAAAAACAAATATTTCTTTTTCATAATGAATTTATTTTAATATTATTTAATAATAGTTTATAATATTTTAATATTATTATAGTTAAAATTATTTTTTTTATCTTTTTAATTAAAAATTTATATTAATTTATAAATAATAGGATTTCAGAAAAAAAATAAAAAAAAAATTATTTATATTTAAAAATATTTAAATTTTTCTAATTTTTTTTTTTACTTTAAAATAATATATAAAAAAATAAAAAATAAAAAGCAAATTAAAAAAAAAAAATTAGATGTATTAAAAGACTTTATAAGTATCGCATTACTAAAACGTTCCAAATATTAATAATATACCTTAACTTTCTAATTCTCATCAAATACTCCATTAAAGCCATGTTCCAGAGAGTAAAAAAATAAAAAAAAATAAAAAAAAATTAATAAAAAGATATTAAAACATCATAAGTTAATTAATAATATTTGCATGAAAAACAAAATTAAATTGAAAATTATTATGAAGAAGAGGAAGAAGAAGAAATTCCAGAAGAATCAATGTATTGCCAAAAATGTTAAAACAGTGTTCAACAGGTACTAGCTTTAAAATGTAATCATAATTTGTGCCTATACTGTGCTTCTTAATAACTTTAAGCATCTTAATAATAATAAAAAATACAAATAAATTCTATTAATTGTGAAAATTGTGGAGTAATAACAATTTTACCTTAAAAAAGTATATAAATACTATTAGAAGTAAATGAAAACTATTCAGAGGAAAACTAACAATCAGATAACTAAAGCTAAATAATCTAAAAATAATAGTAATAATAATAATAATAATAATAATAATAATAATAATAATAATAATAAAAATAATAACATTTAAAAAAAATTTAAAATGTATAAAATTATCCTTTAATTGAAGCTTAAAGCATGAATAATTTGCCTATTTTGTATTGCTTTACATGTGAAAGTACACCTTGTTTTACTTTAGAGGAACATTTACAAGGATTTCATAAAAACCATAATGTTAAGAATGTATCGAATTCCTTTCCTGATTTATAAAAAGTAAAAATAAAAATAATCAAAATTAATAAAAAAAAAATAGCCAATTGAAGATTTTAGATTTTAAATAAAATCGAAAATCGATTTATTAATTTTCGATGAAAATCGATTAAATAAAAAAAAAGAAGAATTAAATTATGCTCTAGAGAATTCATTATAATCTATAAAATAAAGCTTTGATGATATTTTTGAAGCTCTTTAATAAAAACAAAATGAATTAATTAGAAATGCCTAAGAAACTATTGAATATAAACAAAATGAAATAAACATGGCTTTATAAAAAATTTATAATAATACGCATACTCTTTAATAAGTTGATTAAAGTTTAGAAGAGTTATATTATAAGTAGGAAAGAAACATTAATAATGAAATTAAAGCATTTAATTATTTTGCAGAAAATAAATGTAAAGTTAAATCTGTAATTGATTTAATTGACACTAATTTATTGAATTAAATTAAAGATAAACTTTAATATAAATTCTAATTGGATTAAAATTCACTTTTGTAACATATTGAATGTATTAAAAACGTTAAAGTTGAAATTATAAGACTTAAGGGATTAGAAAATATTTAAAAACTCGAAAAAGTAAAATACTTAATATGAAGAAAAATCTAAAAAATTATTAGAATAAATATTATAATAGCATGCAAGTTAAGGCTTATCATTGCGATAAGATACATTGAGGAATGAAGATTTGTTCTAATTAAATAGGGATGGAAATGGATCTTCTTTTTCGCCAAAATAGTAGAAATATGTAAATATTGGAAGAGTTAGTTCTCCTTTAAAAAATAATAATTAATAATTCAAAATTTCAAGTATGGCTACTAAATAAATTTTTAATAATATTTTAAGTAGCCCAGCTTAGAAAAAAATTTCAGTAAAGAAATAATATGATAGTCCTTTGGAATAGAAAATGATGAAATAAATGGAAATTTTCAAAAAAAATATCGAAAATATAAAAAATAAAGAAAAAAATACTAAAAATGCTGCGTAAAATAGAATTAATTATTTATAAGAAAAATTCGGAATTAAAATTTGATTTTATTTTTACATTTAAGAATATTTTTATTTATTTTGATTAGTTTTTTATTAAATTATTATAAATATTAAAAATAAACATATTTTTTTTTATTTTTTATTTATTTTAATTTTAATTTTCACAATATAAAAAATCATAATAAATTATATTTAATATTGAATAAATAAAATATCAAATTATATATAATTCAAAAATCTCCTTATTATTTTTTATAATTTAATAATATAAAATTACTAACAAATGATATATATTTAAATGTATAAATTTTTAAAATTAATAACAAATAATATTTTTTTAGAATTATATATTTAAATGAGTAAAAGATTTATAAGATATTTATTTATTTATTTTTTTATCATCTACGCTAAAAACAATAAATTAAATACTATAAAATATCATAAAAAAATTAATAATAAACAATTAACACATAATTTAATCATATAGGTGATTTTATTGCAATTCTAAATTTTAATTATTTTTATTGTTTGATTATAAAAAATATTAAAATTAATATAATGTTTTAATTTATATCGATAATGCTTCGTTATTTGCTAGTAAAATTCTATTTATAAATTTTAATTGCTTTATATTTGTTAATTTAACCTTAATAAATTAATTATATATAAAAATATATATAAAATTTTATTTATTTAGAAATAAAATAATTATTATTTGAAAAATACTATTAATATAATTAAGTAAATGTCAACAAAATAAAAATTAAATTAACATTTTATTTATAAAAGTTTTGAACTTACTAATTTTTAAAACATTTATTTAAATACTTGTTAATATTTGTTGAAATTTTTTATAAAATGACGAACAAAAATTTTTTACATATAATAATTAAACTTAAAAATAATTATTCATCTTTCAAAAAAGTGATTATATTAATTGCACCTTCTGTTTCAATGCAAGAATCATTTTAATCCGTTTAGCTTAGGTTTAAAGACTTCTGAATTTGGATAAATACCATATACTTAATTTATAAGCATATCACTTAGTAGAAGTGTTCACTTTATCCTTTGTACTTGATAAATCGCCTACTATTATATTAGAAATTATAGATTAACAAAAGCATATAATACATAAAGCTTGAATTAACCTTCATCAGCATTATCAATATATCTTGTTTACTTTTGGAGTTTTTTTAGCATTATTCATTAATAAGTGTATTCTAAATAATAGTTATAAATACTAATTTTTATTTTACATATTCAAGTTTTGAAAATGAATAATAAATAATTTTAGTATTTCTATAATGTATAAAATCACAATGATATATATTTAATTTTTGTATTTTATTATATATTTATATATTTAATGTATTTATAAAGATATATTTATTTATTTAACTATTCGAATATAATATAAAATTTTTAATTTTTATATACATCAAAAATTTATTATTTTTTAATTATAATAGATATAAATTTATATAATTTAATACTATTAAATTTTATTTTATTTTAAATATAAATTGATGTTTATATATTTGATTTTTTTTTTATTTATAAAATTATTAAAAATTTTATACAGACTTTTTATAAAAAAATTAGTTTCAAATAAATGAATCCAGATAAATAATTCTAATAAAATTATATAAAATAAAGACAATACAAGTGAGAATAGAAATTAATCTAATAAAAATTATTAAAATATAATTTTATTTTTTATTATTTATATATTATCATTTTTTATTAACCTCTATATAAAGATTTTATTCATAGTATTATTTTAAATATACAATAAATAATATTTAATTTTTTTTATAAAAATATTAAAAATATATTTAAAATAAAAATAAATTTTATAAATATTTCATATTTTTTATTATATAATATAAATTTGTAAAACTATATATCAAAATTATTAATGTAAATACTCTATATCTTAAATAATCATTAATTATTAATTATTTTATATTTATTAATTGTTTTTTAATTTAATTTTTATTACCTTTTATCATGGATTTTTTAATTTTTCTGTATTTTTAAAATAAACTCAATAAAAAATAGATATTCATTCTCTAAAAAAATTAAAAAAATAATGATAAAAAGTAACAATTTAAAAAATTAAAAAAAAAATATTCTAAAGTTAAATTTTATTATTAAAAAAATACAGAATAAAATAATATATAAAAACTAATAAGCATTTTTTCATTAGCAGTAAGCAGATAATTTTTTTAAATTATTAACTTAATCTAAACTTACATTTTATGGGAATTAAACATCAAATTAAATTATAAGGTTTCCCTTATCCTATTAATTTTTTAATAAGTTTTATTTTTTAGATTCATAATAATTATCAAAATATATAGGCATTCCTTATCCATGAACAATTTATTAAGCAAAAGGTCTAAAAAAATTCAAAATAATTAAAAAATAATTTCTTAATAAAAATATTACGTAACAACTTCATCAATAGCTACATAAAGTCTCCTGCCATCTAATGTAATTATATTAATTCCTTATATATTCCAGCATTCATAAAGATTTATTTTGTGAACATATATTAAATCGTTTTACTTTCTTTTAAAATTTTAATGATCAATTTCATTTAAACGGATTATTAAATCGGCTTATAATAAAAATAAAATATTGTTATAGCAATTTTATAAATTATATTATTTTTAATACAATTTTCATATCCAGCTGCTTGGTTTCCTTCTTTATAAAATCTCAAGACTGTTCCATCTTTAAAGCCTGGTTTAATATGTATTGTTCTTTATTTATTTATATATTTTTTGTAACTTTTTTTAAAAAAGTAAAAAGTACTTTTCACATTCAACATCTTATGTTGTTCTTCCATCTTATTATAAAACCTTATTTTTTATTTAATCATTTTAATAAATATTTTATTTTTATATTTTTTTTAACTCGTTTTAAATATTTAATTTATTTGGAGCAACCATTATAAAACTCGTTTAAGGTACAATCAGCTTCAGTTTCTAAATCTTAAGGAGGATGATTTTTATTACAATGTTATCCTTAAAAGTGATAGCCAAATAATGTTCCTGTTCCATTTTCACCGTTTTCATCTTTTTTTATTTATTTACAATCAAATTATTATAATACCTATAACATATGCGAATGGATTATTTTCTAAATAAAATTTCTCAAATATTTCAATCGGATTTTTTTCAAATCTATATCCTCCCTTTTAAAAAGATATTTAAAAAAACAAAACAAAAAAAATCAATATTTACTGCTAATTCTTTATTTTAAGTTAAAAATAGAAATAAAATAATGAGTAAATTAATTTTGTTTTATTTAAAAATACCTCCTTTATGGAAAAAACCTTACTTTAATTTTTCTTCGCCAAATTAATCATAAAATGCTCTTCTTACTTCTAAAATTTTAATAAATGAATATTATTTTTTAATAATTTAATTCTTACAATCACTTAATACTTCATATGCTTCTGATATTAATGAAAAATAATAGTTTGTTGTAGTTTAATCCATTTTACTAAATTTGGGATGATATCTTAAAGATAACCTTCTGTAACTATTTATTGAATTATTTATAAATTTAAATTACAAAAATATAAAAAATAATGTATTTAATATTTTTACGAATTAGCTATTTCTTCTTATGTTGCATCTCTATTAATCTGTAAATCATTATAATAATTTCTAGGCATTACTTTATAATTATTATATGTGTTATTTTTTAATAAAAAAATTAAATATAATATAAAAAAATATAACAACTCAAATAAATAAAAATATATATAATTTAAAATAATTTACAGTAGTTTATATTTTTTATTTATTATTTTTATTTTTAATTAAATATTAGCTATTTTTCTTTTAAAAAAAATAGTTTATTATTATCTATATGTTTAATGAAAATCGTTTGTATAATTAATAATTTAAAATATAATGTATATTCTTTAATAAATAGGATAGAAAAAAATAAAAATATGTGTATAAAAATCCTTATTTTCATTTAAAATAAAAAAATATACTTAACTCTAAAAATATCTTATATTAATAAATTAAATTAATTTTATTAATATAAAAAAATTTATAAAAATAATTAATTATAAATTTATAGATGTATTAAAATGTTAGATAAAATACAATACAAACTTTTTAGATGATTTAATAATTATTCTAAAATTAATCATGACAAATACTCTATAATTATATAAAAGTAAAAAAAAATTATTTATTTTTTTAAAAATGATTATATAAAATAATAATATTTAAGATTTTATAAAATATTATAATATTGATTTAAATTTTCACTTTTAATAAAAATATATTTTTATCATAAATAATTTTTTTAATAAATTTTTTATTATGTAATTTAAGTAATTAATTTTTAAAAAATATAAAAAAATTATTTTACTTTATAGTAGTGTTTTTTATTATTTTATACAAAAAATAAATTACCTCTATTGTTGTGCTTTTATTTTATATGACCATTTAAAGCAATATTAGTTCCATATTTTTTATTACAATCTTCATAAGGACACTATTTATATTTATATAAATGCAAATATTTATTAATTTATTGATACAATATTTGTATATTTACCTGTAATTCTCTCTTTATATCTTGAGCTTTTCTTCGAATTTTACGTTTTTAAACTTAATAATCACTATTTTATGATTTTGAACAATCGTAAATATTTAAATTTTGTTCTTATTATATTTATAGTTATTATTATTACTTTTTAATATATAAAAATAATTAAAAATTAAATTTAAAATACTCTTTATAATTTAATTTTTTCTTTTATATTTTGTATTTCTTTTTGGTATTCACATATATATTTAAGTATAACTTCATTATTATAATATATTTTCCAATATTCCTAATAATAGTTAATTTACTAATCATATTTAGGCACTTTTTATAAAAAATAATTTTATTTTAATAATTTTTATTTTTTTATTAATATTTTTTTTGTTTAAAATAAAATAACCATTATATTGAGAATTTTTCAATATATCTTTTGATTTCTATTGCTTTATTTAATTTAAATTAACTTCGTATTATAATCGATTTTATTAAGCATAATCATCGTTTTCTAAGTTAATTAAAATTCTTTAGTTTTCTCGGCTACCTATTTATTTATTAATATAGTAAAATTATTTAAAATTTCAAATTAAACTTTTTGGAGATGAATTTTTAGAAATATTTTGTTGGTTTTATTATTATTTTATCTTCTATTCATAAATATTATATAATGTTATTTATTAATATAGTTTTTCTTAAGAAATATTTTTTATTAATTTGAATTTTTATATTAAATTAAATTTTTCATATATTTTCTTTTTACCTTCACATAAAAAATTTTTAATGTTTTATATATATAAGAAAATACTTATAAAATTTAAATTATTAATATAATAATTATTAAATATATATAAAATATTATAGCATTGTGGCTTAATACAAAAATGTAAAATATAAAATATTTGTTTTAAATAGTTATAATTATTTTAATTTATATAAAATATTTTTTTATTTAAATAAATAAATTTAAAAATATATTTTTATATATTAGATTATATAAATTTTTTATTTATTTTTATATTTATTAATTGTCTTTGTATAAATAAAAAAAATATACTAAATAATTAATATATTTATTTTAAATACTAATATATTTAAAAGTATTTTTATTTTTATGATATATAAAACATTTAATTAAGAAAAAACTTTATTATTATATATATATATATATTTAAAATTATTATAATATAAAAATTTATGTAAATTAAGATATATGTATAATCATAATAAAAAAATAAATATTTTTATTTTAAATTATTGTTTAAATATAAAATTATATATATATTATTTAAATAATTAATTAAAGATTAAAAAATTTTAGATTAGTAAATATTTTATTAATTTTTTTTTTTTTTAAATTACTTTAAAATTTAAATATCATAAAATTATTATATTTATATTGTATTTTTTTTATTTTTAGTTTATTAAAGTTTTTATAAATTCCATATAAAATAAAAAGTAATTAAATTAATTAAAAAAATAATTGTATATATTTATATAACATTACTCATTTTTAAAAAAATGCATATTTAAACAAACTATTAATTTGTTTTTATACAAAATTTTATAAATACAACATTTATGCGAATTATTAATTATTAATTATTAATTATTTTATAAATAAATAAAAATTTCATACTTTAATCAATAATATCATATTTTTATTTTTATTTTTTCTAAATTTTAAAGCCCACTCTTAATATTCATCAAAATAAATCTAACTATTATTCTTATTAAATTAACGTTAATAATAATTAAATTATTGTTATTTATTAATTCTTCATTACCGTCTTCTTATTGTTCTTGAATATAAATATAATTAATTATCTTAAAGTATTTTTTTTATCAACATAATTAAATTTATGTAAAGGTTTGAGAATTTTGTGATCTTAAATTAAGAAAAAAAAGTTGTTTTCTCTATTTCCTAAAGAAGACCTTCCATATTATCTATATTTTATTTTAGAAATTTTAAAATAATTAGATAAAATAAATAAGTCATAATTCCACCTAAAAAAAATGGTAAAAGCCACAAAAATAAAAATTATATAAGATACAGAGCAAATAAAAAGAAAGAAGCACAACCACTTATTTTTTTGATAAAATTATTTCAACAAATGCAAAAACAATAATGCATTTGATCTTGATATTGCAATAATTTAATAATTTTAATGAAAAGTTGTTAGATTTTGATATCCTTAATATTATCTTCTAGCAATTTATCCATAAAATTATAAATAAATAGAAATGCTTCAGCGGGTTATGATAGAGTATTTACTTATTGCTTTTACTGCTATTCATCCATATAAAGATAAATTATAAGTAAAATAATGAATCATTATTGTACCAATTATTAAAATACTTATAATTCCAGAAATATTGAAATATTAGGAAATTAAATATGATAAATATCATATATTGATAGCAAAAAAAAAATTCTCTCTTTAAATTGTATCAATTAAATATTATTCAAGGGCGAATTAAAGAAATAAATATGTTTTCATCGAATTCAAATATACTTTTTATGTATTTTTTATATCCAACCAAATAACAATCATGATTCCTATTTAAATTTAAAGTTTGAAAGTACGATAATTTATTGAAAAATCACCTAAAACTATTATAAATAACGCACATATTAAAGAAAATAGATATTACATATATATTTTTTTTAAATTAATAATATTTTTTTTATTAATATATCAATATTATTAAAAAAAATTTAAAATCAATAATAAAATTTATTTTATATATTTTTTATTAAAATATCTTAATAAATATGGAAGATTTTAGTTTTTCTGAAGAAGATTTAAATAAAATAAATGATTTAAATCATATATAATAGTTTTATGAGCTAAAATATAATAATTAAAATTGTTTAAATAATCAAAACCTATAATAAGAAATTTAATTTAATAATTAATAAAAAATTATCCTTTAATAAATTATAAAATATATAATATCATTTTTTGATTTCATATAATTAAAATAATCCTTAATAATTTAAAATATAGTTAATTCAATTTATTAATAAATTAAATTATTTTAATATTAAATATAATTTTAGTTTGATCCGTTTTATTTAATAAAAGAATAAAATTCATTAACTGAAAAATGTAAAAAATAAAAAATAAAAATAAAAAATGAATTAATATATAAAATAGTTTAAATCAATAAATTATTGAAGATTTTAGCATTTATTATAATTATTAATATATTTGTTAATTTTAATTTGGCTTTATACATATTATTGTTTTTTATTTTAGTTTAATATTATTAGTTTATAATAATTAGAATTTAAGCTAATTGTTAATAAATAAAAGAAATAAATGATCATATTTTAAAAATAACTTAATAAAATTTTCTTGCATACAGAAAAGGAATTAAATTTTTAAGAGAAATGGAGTTAGTTATAATTGGAATGAGATTGTATTTCATTTATTTTTATATTATATTAAAAATAATTTTTATTAAAAAGAGGACCTATAGATTAATTATTATATTAATTATAATACAATAAAAATCAAAATAATTCTATTAATATTGTTTCAAATTTAAATTAAATATGTTGTATTGATTTAAGATACAATTTAGTTAATCAAATCAGATTTATTATTAAAGAATATTTAGAATTTTTAAATCATTTGAAACTTCTTATCAATAATAAGCAATAAATTTCATTTAGAATTGAATAATTTAATAATAGTCTATAAATTATAGAGGAATAAAAAATAATATAAATTTAGAATATTTAAGAAATATGGTATATTTATTGCAATATAGTTAATTATTTTTAAAATTTAATAATTGAATAAAGTTCATATAAGGAATAAATATATATTTTTACACGTAAAATTAATTATATTATATTTATAAAAAATTATATAAAAAAAAAAGTTTGGAGAATGAAAAAAATAGCAGATTTAAATAAAAATTTATATAAAATTATTGATACAAACATATTATAGTAAAAAGAAAAAATATTTAACGAAAAAAGTTTAAATTATCAATAACTTTACCCTGAAGACTAATAATTTAATGATTAAATATATGAAAATATTAACTTATATAAATTATGCCATACTTTTTTACCTGAATAGAAAAATTAATAATAGATA